AAACATCAAACTTCATTACTTTTTTTTGTTACGAGGTTTGAAAAATAAAACGGTCTAATAAGGATGAAACTTTTATTTTTATATTATAAACAACATTCCTCATATTTTCATCTTAAAACTAATAGTACACCGACATTTGGTTACAATTTACAACAAAACAAACAATGATTAATCATAAATGCCTTATTATTTATAATATTATTTCAGAATAAAATGTATTTATATGCAAAAAATAAAAAAAAAACTCAATGGAAATCATTCTTTAGTCCAGAAATTTTATGTATGATATTTTAATGACATAAGAGCATCATACTACCTTCGCAGCCAAATTCAAACGTGGATACTAGTACATTGTCATCATTGAAGTCCAAGATGAAATATCTTAGAATTATGTACAAATTAAGGTTTATTACTTATTATAGACACATCGAGCTAATTATTAGTTAGCAAGTAAGTTAATTTATTATGAAAATAAATTATACATTCTCTAATCTAGAAACATTTTGTAAAATATTTTTACATGTTATCAATTTAGAAAATCAATGAGTTATATTTTTTCTTCATCGGCTCGTAACATGTTCCCTTTTGTTGTGTTTGTTGTTCCTGTTGTTGTTGTGGAATTTGCCTTAACCGTCTCGCAGTCAGATTGACAAGTCCTGTAGTATCTGAGCTGATCTGCAGATTGGTTACGTTGATGAGAAATAGTTAAAATGCCATCTTTTTTAAATAAATAAAATACTGGAAAGGCTAATAATGTTACTAATATTCCCTTTAACTGCTCTTAGTAAGCCTAAAATGTTTTTTTTCAGTACGACAGTAGTCGAATGGTGGATCCGAACCGATGGCCTTAAGTTCTCGGCCCGCACCCTACTATTAGGCTACTGTTGCTTCATATTCCACCTATTGGAAATCATAGCAATGCCCATAATGCCATACCACCACACGGTAAGAAATATCACAAACCTTTTCGTCATCGTAGGTGTCGATAAAAGTGAGTTAGGTAAAGTTATCAAAACTGTATACCAGGTAACCAGACGGATTAATTGTAGATTATTTGAAAAATCACTAGTTAAAACAATATTTAAAGTGACTTGTGACTAACGTTATAATAAATATATTAACATGGATGAGTGGTAAGTAATGACATGATCTAATAACCATGTTTTATATGAATACGCAACTGTAATCAAAACTAGTAAATAAACGTTATAAAAAATCTATTCCAAATGAATTAAGTTGAAAAATTAGCTGAAATTATCCTAGATTATATAAAAAAAATACTTTTAATAAAAAGTAAAAAATAAATACAACGAACTAAAAAGTATGAAATAATTTCTATTTAATAGGTTCAAAAGTCGGGGCTTTCATTTTACAAATGTCTTTGCACTGATAGTATCACCTGTAAGATTTCGTAATATTTTTTAAACTTACTTATATATAAGACAGCTTTTAATCATGTGCCATAACGACTTTCCTAACTACACTGAAAAAGAGCATACATTCAAACTACAACACTCTTTTTCTAAAAAAGTTTTTTTTTAAACTCAGCTAAATAATTAACCGTCTATTGAATGAAGTTTTATTGCTGTATAAATACACATATCATTATCATACTGTATGGTGACGGTGTAAAGTAATATATCACCCCTTCTCCTCTCGTATGTGTCCTAACGGGGGACTATGAAATACTTTGTTGTATTTCATAGGCGCTCGTTAATATCTTATGGCTTTCGATATAATATTGCAATATAACCATCTCTCTATAGTGAAATATATCGATAATTATATATTACAGCTTGTTAAATTCCACTGCTAAACATTGGCCTCTCTCATAAATGTCTGCTCCGTGGCGCAGTGGCTAAGCACAAGTTGGAACAAGTATTTATATGGCCTACAAATAATTGTTCCAGGTCTGGATCTTTGTCCTTGTGCAATTTATGTGTGTAAACTGCCTCCGCGATACAGGAGAAAATCTTAGTGTAGGGGTAACGTTTTTAGTTTTGTATTATATATTTCCCCATGGGGGAGATTTATCATGGTTATATCTTCAATCCACCTGCCAAGTATCAGGAGAAGTTCATGACCTTTTAGGAGCCGATAAAGAAAATGACATAGAAATATCATAAGACCTGGTTAAAATTCAATAATCATTGTATGATATATATTCAAGACAGTGTACTTTACAAGTAACCTAACTCGTAGTGGTTAGTAGTAAGGAAACCAACTCAATCGATTAACTTACCTATAAATATCGAGTTAAATTATCTAAAAAATTTATCTCGATTAAGTTGTTAAACACAATTTATTAGTATTATTTAACATTAATCTGAGTTATACTTCGTAAATAATATACATATTTTCTTAAAATTCTCAGTTCCCTCGTTATTCTTAAAACGGCACGATAATATTAGGAACACCAATAATAATAACTGTGTACTTAATTCAATTTTACTCTTCGCTGATTTATTTACAAAGGTCGTGTTTTTATATTTGAATTATAATTATATACAGACATGCATAATATTATGTGATATATGATGATTTTATTTACGGGCTAATCTGTGCAAGATCAGCTATAACATTATTATTATAAATCTCTAATGAAGTGCGAAACGCAGTGATTCGAAGTCAAATATTCTGGTATTTAATACATAATATTGTATAAAACTATTTCAGTGCACGGTTGTGCTGAAAATTTAATTTTATGAATGTATAAATTTATATATTGATTTCAAACTTTTCATTTTCAATAATATGGGAAATTAAATAACAAAATGAAATTTAACTTAATGTGGTCTTTTGAATTGAACAATCTTCGTTACGAGGCTTAAAGCTACACATTTCATTAACATTATAATATAAATTATACATATTTTTATTATTTTTCGTGTCTTGCATAATGTCATATTCAGCTAACGAAAATAATTTTATGATTACATTACATAAGTTAAAAAAAATAAAAGTTAATATTTTTAATTGTTATATTAATGAAAGGAAATGACCTAACTAAATAAAGTATAAAAAATATTTTCTCAGAAGGTTTAAGTATTCAATAATAATCTAGATGTCTAACTTATTTTTTAATTATTGATAGCATATTAATATTACACGCAAACGAAGTTTTTCTACAATAGAACAACTGCAAGATTTTTGTAGAAATAAGGGTGACACGAGCAGTCACTTTATCTGATGGTAAGTGGATGGTGTGGCGCATACACATAGGCACCTAAATCTGTCCTCGATTAAGAATCTACAAGCAGATGCGTTGATACTGAGGACTAAGATAAGACTGGCTGAAAATAAGTTAAAATAAAATGTGTCTCGTTAAAAGTAAATCTCTGACTCTACTCTTTCACCATGCTAAATACGTCAGTATTGTGCTACCATTTCACGCTGATATTCTGACCAAATGTGATCTTTTTCTGGTGTAGAGGTCTATGGGTCGGCCATTACTGCTACAGACATAATCCGCTGTAGCGTGGCTCTACGATCTAAAAAAACATAATTAAAATATCTGTCAGACCGAATTTCAGACATGGACTCTCAACGGAGACTAGCTACAGGACAGGATTAAATGCTCGAGTGTATGTGCAAATACAGGTGCACTCTCCATTACTTCACTCTCATAGTCCGTTAGCGTGGCAAGCCTGAACGTTTTACCTGCTTTCCTGGGGTGGTATACTGTAAATTGACTGTCTTTGGGTTGCTACCGAAATCTTGAGAGAAAAATTAAATAAATAATTTGTAGTCCGACTAGAGATTTGAACCCGAAAAATCTCATAATCAGCAGCCTCCTTTATGACCACTAGACTAACGAGGCTGTCACCATATAAAAAGTTATAGTAAACTGTTACAAAATGCTTTCACTCCTTAATCAGCTTAAGCAGCTTTAGGCGTGTGATTCCTTACGGACAACGGGGCCATTAAGGTAGAGACAGTAAGTGAAGTAAAGTAAACTAAATTAACTGAAGTGAAGTGAAGTGAAGCAAATTTAACTTAAATGAAGTAGCGTGTTTTATGTGAAGTAAAGAAAAGTAATTCAAAATAAAGTAAAATAAGAGTAAAGTGAAGAGTTATGAAAGTGAGTGAGTGTAGTAAAGTGACTGACACGCCGTAGTCGTAGTTGGCTTCGGGAGCCATTGTTGACATATTGTACGTTTTAGTCCGTAAGAGAACATAACCTGCCTTTTTCCCTAGATCAGCCGCGTATTAATTAGGATTACGCCGCATAAAAAGGGAGGTGTCAACAAGCTGTGAACTGGCTAGCGATGATTATGATGACGATTGACAATCTGATTTCATTCGGGTTACCAATAAAGTTTAAAAATGAAACTATGTAAAATCTGTAAAACTATTAAATTTGTAATATACATATCATTATGTGGACGCTTTAGTTCCCGTAAAAATTTTACTAGGCTTTTATAACATCCACCATAAATGAAAATCGGTAAGATGATATGAAATTTTAATATCAAGAAAGCTTGTTCTTAGACATACATATTCGTGACATTTAATTCGTAATCGACTATATACCACATTCTACGATTTACTTATCGAATTTATGTCCAAATAGATATTCATTTGAAATTAGAAGATAATGTTATTCTGATATGAATGTGAGAATAATATTATCATCATGATTTAATAAAAACATAATAAAAATAAAACTTTAGTAATAACCATAATTTATTACAACATTTTATAAAGCTTTAAAGGTTTTTATTTTTATTTCGAAACGATTTCAATAAATTTTCTCTTGTCCGAGAATAATTCTATCCATCCAATTTGATTACGTAATTCTGTTTTAGTACCTATGTTATAGTACTTTGTAATTTTAAAATAGAGTAACAAACAAACAATGATAACCTTCAAATTTCACACTTTGTTAACAAAAACTTCGGCTGCGTATTTCAAGAACTTTACAATCTAGTGATTATTCATGAAACTTATTTAAGAACTTTTTACAAAATGGCGCGCGTCCAAAACGCGCCGGCTATGTGTCAGCTAATATATGCACAGAGAAGAGCAGTAGTTGGACGTGACAACCCGGCGACACCGCCCCGCTGCATTGCTAGTGGATTTTCGCCTGTAAAGGGAATGCTATTTGAATAATCTTACAATAGTAGAGATAGATCACAGAGAATATTTGATTAACATCGAAATGTATGAATATCGATTTTGCTTTATGACTGCTTATTCATTTGCATGTATCCATTTTGCGGGATTAAATGAATATTAAACTTTACACGACTGTTATTAGAATTAAATGTTAAAACGCTCCAAGCGGCCAAGCTCCATTTTTTACATTTTGTTTTTTTTTTATTATATTTTTTTTATTATTATAGACACTTATATGTCATAGTTCAAAATTTGTTTGCTTTAAATGCATCGTTTGTCAGGTGCATTGGTGATCTCGTTATCAAAAGTTTGGCATATGGGACACTGCTATTCAACCCAGGTTTGATCCCCGCCGATACTAATGAAATTCTTAATTGCAATTTTAAGTGCTGATTTACCACATGTTTGGCGGTGAAGAAAACTTCTTTAGGAAACCTGCACGTCTGAGAAAAAAATATTTCAAAGACATGTGAAGCCCACCAACACGCATTGGGGCAACGCGTCGGAAACTTCCTTGCTCTAAAACCTTCTCAAAAGTGAGAACAGGTCTGTGCCCAGCAGTGGGACGTATAAAGGATTTAACTTTACTTTTAGTGCATTGTTAGATATGCAAAAGTCCAACAATGGATTTAAGAAAAGGCTTAATATAAAAAATATTGATATTTGTTTGTTTGTTCGTTCTATATACGTTCCTATGCCATTCATCTGATGATGATGAATATTTGTAGGTGGTTGTGTGCAAAGGTTCCTAACAATAAAACGGAATTGAAATGCATGTCGTGCGTAGTTGGTATGATAATATAATGTACAAGCAATCTAAATATAGCAAAATTCCATCACGTGAATAAAAAGCATCCAACACGTACCTCTTAGAACATGCACGGCCACGGCAGAAGCAGCGAAATCTGCTAGAGAGCAAGTGTAGTTCCCAGAGTCTTTTCGATTTGCGTTTGCTATGTAGAGCCTTGATAGAGCACCGTTTTCAGTGGTTTCTGTCTTCACGCTGATAAGACGAGTAGTTATTAATATAATTAAATATTATTAATGAACTTATTGTTCTTCTTCTTGTCCATCAAGAGACTTTAAGGCTCCGTTAAAATCCCCTGATTGACATGGCCTAATCCCGCTGAAGGAAGGATTAACCTTTATTGACAGAATTGTCAGACGAATTGGCGATCGCAATACCAGCGTTTATGATATGGATATATCCATCTTTCGAAAGCGATGATATCTTTTTAGTTTTTCTTATAGTCACCTCGTACGGCACCCGTGGGACAAAATAAAGTGATAGATTATTTCTTCTTAAATTTTATTCTGCTCGTCTGTTCCAAAAATATGACATGTGTAGTAAAACAGAAAACATATCGTCTAACTTGCACTTAACGCGCACACGGTTAGGTTAGGTTACGTCGCTAGATTTCAGTAATTGAGAGATATTTTAAAATTAAAATACATTGTAATAATAATAGATAGTTATTTTTATAGAATAGGGTGTCAATTAAGCACTCAGTTCATTTGATGGCAAGTGAATGTTGTGGCCCATAAATATCTACATTTACCCACGATTTAGAATCAAAAAGCATATGCGTTGGCACCCGCGGGGATTTAGATGAAATGCCTTACTACTAGTTAAAAGCTTCTCCTTCTCTACACTTACTACACGAATCACATTATTGTTCTGCGTTTTCACACCGGTATTCTTTGAGAACGTGGTCCTGCCCCGGTCGAGCCGATCCATTCGTACTGCAGCTATAATTAAGCTGCAGAAAGATTCATCAATATATGTTGGGGAGGTTTTAAAAGCAGGACGAGACTTATACATTCCTACGAGGAATTCGATTTCGAGAGGTGATGCTGGGGATGGTAGGGCTGAGATTGACAGCGACGGGTATAGTGAGTGCGATTGAGGGAGGGTGGGAGGTCCCCTTAAAACTGGGCAGAATTAAGCAAATTAGTTTATAATAACCCCAGAATATGGGTATTTAATTTTTACATATTATGTCTTGTAAATTTTAAAAACTTAGTACCTTTCATATACTCATATCTTCTACAAACTAATTTCGCCTTAAACTTGATTTAATAGCTATTTTCGCAAAAATAAATCGAACTTACAATTAATCTAAATAAGGGATATTTTTAATACTGCGTTTTAAAACATTGCAATTAAAAATTTCAAAGCGGCAACATTTCTATAATTAACTATTAAATATCCTTTATATACCATTGAGTATGATATAAAAACAAAACGAATGAAAAGAAATCTTTAAACTAAGTCGGCTAAGAAAGGCCAACAGTGGACTTAAAAAATAAGTAAAAAGTATATCCTTTCCTATTGAGAAACAGTTTTTATTTAAATTCTTGCTTTTATTGTAGAAATGGGCCTGAGGGCTGATCTGCCCTTTATTCACGAGAGGGCCCAAGCAGTAGCGCATTTTAAAAAGCTTTCTATGCTCGTCTCTTATCATTTTAAAATAACAAGCATGTTTCGTAGTTAAAAAAAATATTCCAAGATCGTTTCTATTTAAACTATGAAAACTCTTTGAGAGTACTTCAATAAAAACCTGCAAATTATGCTTGCCAAAATGATTTATTAAGGTCGGAATTAATTAACTTTACGAAAGTTTGATGCTAATATTTTTTGATTTTCGCTTTTCATTCGTGTATTTAAGCGCTATTTTATATGGCATATGATTTACTCACCTGACGGTAAGTGGTCACAGTAACCAGTGAACAACAAAAAGGCCTTAGACATAATGCTTCACAGTTTTCAATTATACTGGTTTTCTTATCTTTTAAATTATTTTTGGATTAATTGCTGCTAGGCAGCAGAAATACTTAATGAAACGCATTGTAGTCTGATTAATAAGACGTTTAGTTCAGTATGGCAGTCCGTGGCAGAGGATCAGTAGGTGGACGGACTGTAATCATGATTTCATGATTAATATATATATATATATATATATATATCTTTTTAATAATTTTGAAAGAGGTAGGAAGACAAGTATAGATGATGTAATTAAAACAATGAAAAGCAAGAAAACAGTGTCACTCGAAATGCTAAGGGCTGGAGAGGGAGTGGTGGCAGGCCTGCTGTACACCTTGTTTAATTTATGTTAGGACTGAAGCGGGTATCGGAAGACTGGCGCAAAGCCGTTATAGTCACAATATATAAAAGAAAAGGGGCACAGCTGCACTGTAAAAACTTCCGTGATATAATCCTGCTTAGCATCGTGGGTAAACTATATGCTAAGGTGTTAATAGAAAGAGTTATGAAAGAAACTGATGGAAACATTTAGAAAAAGAATAGGTTATGCGGATCAAGTACTTTCCATGCGCATGATCGCGCAGAAGTTTATGTTCGAAAATCAGAAAGTTTTTGTGTGTTCATGGACTTGGAATTGGTTTGTGACATAGTGGCCAGGGATGTGTTATGGAAGACTCTGAACAGATTTGAGTTGAGCGCTGGGTTGATACAGGCGTTAAGGTTTCCTTATAGGGACTCTAGTGCTAGTATAAGGATCAAAGGAGCCCACTTGGACTGGTTTGGCATCCATATAGGTGTCGGACAGGACTGTGTAGCTTCCACGTCGCTGTTCAACCTATTTATGGACAGTTGTTTAGAAACTTTGAAAATAGAAAAATGTGGGTTAAGAATGGGTGAGTTAACCATAAAATACCTTTTGTACGCCGACGATCAAGTCATATTTGCGTCTTCGCAGGCCGTTTTTCAAATGATGGTTATATTAATGAACAGGTCATTAAAAGAAATAGGAATGAAATGAACGTAAGATGGTTTTGAAAGAGAATAAAGTAAAACGATATATGAAATAGGAATAGAAGGGAATTGGTTGAGCAAGAGGATGAGGTTGTGTATTTAGGATGTGTATTTAACAGGGATTGTAGATATGATAAGGATATTGAACGACAAATGAACGCATGACATTGGGTAAATGGGGCCTTTCTCTCTATTATTTGAAAACAGAATGTGTATTAAAATGCACATGTGGCAATTCACAATGCTGTGTCAGTTCCTACCTTAATGAGCACGAGAGTAGAATAAATGCTGTAGAAATGCGGTCATTTAGGAGTATGTATGTTAGGGCTGAATTCAAATGACAGGGTGAGAAAAATAAAAAAGTGGTTTGCAAGATGATGTTGTGACGAGGATTAAGAAAGAAATGCTTTGGTGGTTTGATCATATAGAAAGAATGAACGAGGAAAGAGTATCAAAGCAAGTCTATGTTGCGGATGTAAACGGCAGAGTAGATAAGGGACGCCCTAGATGCAAGTTTATTGAACCTATTAGCAATATATTGAAAATGGGCCAAATTAACAGTACCCTTCACTGATGAGCATGTATGCGTAGGTATATGGAGGTGGAGGAGGCGAGAGAGGTGTATCAGCATCATGCCAAATGGAAGTCTATAAACCCTGCCTACCTCTCTGTGTGACAGGCGTGAATGTTAATGTTGTTTTTTATTGGATAGAGTGACAAACGAGCACACAGCCCACCTGATGGTAAATGGTTGCTGTGACCCATAGACATCTACATCTATCCTCAATAAAGAATCAAACTGCAGATGCGTTGTCACAGGTGAGAACTAAGATGTAATGTTTCTTTTCCAGTAAAAAGGGGTTTCAGTTCTCTACACTCATCATACGAAGCACAGCAGTGTTAAGCTGCTATTTTACGCTGGTATTCTTTGAAAGCGTGGTCTTTCCTCGGCAGAGCCGACCCTTCGTGCTAAATAATAAAATTAATAAAATGAAATAGCCTTTTAATTCCTCATTAATTACACTTAATAAATTTGTAACAAAATCAATTTAGTAATTTTAAGTACTTTTAACTTATAATAATGCATGTAGCATTATTATAAATTTAGAAGTACATTTAATTGGATAATTCATTTATCATTTAATTTGCTTTTATTATAGATTAATTTTTTACATAAAACAATTTATATTATTAGTTTTTTTTAACAATTTTTAAATAATAAAATGTTATAATTTTATTATCAATTTAGATATAATTAATTTTACATAAATTCACAATCATATTTTAGAACTTATTATTATAAGTATATATGTATATAATTTTTTTAACATTAACTTATTATACCTGTTATTTGATGACCCCTATTGGGGTAAAGGCCTCCTCCAGAGCTTCCCATACCTGTCTATCCTGTGCCTTGTTCATCCAGTTTTTCCCCGCTATAGCCAACACCTCGTCTATCCATCTTTCATTTCACCTACCTTTTGCACGTGTTTCAGCTGGTCCTTGCCACTCTGTCACCGATGTTCATCTTTGGTCTGAAATGCGTGCTTAATGTCCTGCCCATAGCCATTTCAACCTTTGACCATGATGGAGAACGTCTACCACTTCTGTCTTGTTCCTTAATTCAGAGATCCTTACTCTGTGTTTCAATTTTATGTTAAGAATTATCCTTTACATTCGTGTTTGATATTTCGCGATCTTGTCATTGTTGTGTTTATTAAATATCCATGGTTGGCATCCATAAGTGAGGCATGGCAGTATACAAGAGTCTATTATCTTCTTTTTGAGATGTATAGGTAGAGTCGATTTTAGGATCTCTTTATAGGACCAAAATTTGCACCAACTTGTTATTATTCTTCTTTGGATTTCGTCAACGTGTCTCGTTCTTTTGAATGATATTAATTTACCGAGATACACATATTCGTCTACATATACTAATGGAATGTTGTTCACAATTATAGGTATTTGGGCTCTTTTGTCATTACTTTGGTTTTAATAGTGTTTAGTTCTAGGCCTACATTTTGACTGTCGTTGTTTAGCTCGCTTACCATTGACTCTATCTGTTTTGCCGACTCAGAAAATATTACTATATCATCTGCAAATCTAAGATGATTAAGGTAATTTCTTTTTATGTTTATACCCTTATTTATCCATTTTAAGCCTTGAATGATGTGTTCCAATACTGCTATAAAGATTTTTGATGAAAGTGGATCTCCCTGCTTTACTAT